TGTACTGAAGTGCCTTGTTAGGTTACAGAGTCAGAGCGAGGCATCATTCCTGCCCTCATAGTTGTAGAAGGAAAGACAGACAGATGACTTGAGGAGAAGAATCCATACAATGATATTCAAACACAGACATACAGAGAATAATTCTGAGTGTGTGTGTTGAGGGCAGGAGATGCAGTCATGACAGACAGATGGCTTGAGGAGAGGGATCTATAAAATGTTATTCAAACAGACATATAGAGAATAATCCTGAGTGTGTGTGTGGAGAGCAGGAGATGCAGTCATGGGAGGCATCTTTAGGAGGTGGCATTTGAGCTGGATCTTGAAGAGTGGCAAATATGGAGAGCTGATGACAGTAAGTCCATTTCAAGTCCAAGGATAAGTAATTAAAGCCAGAGTTTGGAAATAGCTCCCAGTTTGAGCCCAACTCTCAGTGCCTAGCCTCAGAGTGCAGGATCAGGTCCCTAGCAAGACGTCCTCTCCATTGCAAGCCCTTCCAAAGGGGTGTATCAGTTACAGTGTGATTGGAACATGCGGATAGAGGTGAAGAGGTAGTCAAGGGTCATCAGGGAAGACATCATAAGCCACTGAAGGTTTCAGTCTTTATCCATAAGATCCAAAGAAATCATTGAAGGTTTTAAGGAATAGAGGGACATGATCAGATTTGTTTGTGAAAGATCACTCTGGCTATTATGAAGATGACATTGAAAACGGGGGTGTCAGGATGAACCAGTTAGAAGGCTGTTCCTGCAAGCTAAATAAGTTGTCCAGGCCTGGATTTCTGGACTGTGAGGAGAGCAAGAGAGATGAAGACAAACGGGTGGCTTTGATAGGTGTTGAGAAGGGAGATTGGGTAGCTTTTAGTGATCAATTGATTAACTCTATGTGGCAATGGAGAAAGAGATGTTAATCGTGATTCTGGGATTTCTGGATTGAGCGATCAAGCAGTTGGCGGTGTGATTAGAGGAGTTCGTGAGTTCAGGTGGAGCATGTTGAATTCTAGGCCCTCCACGCCACTTTCTCTCTGTATCTAGATGATGGCTGTACAATTTTAGCCATGTGGTTTGGCTCTTCTTCTGACACTGACCTCTAGGGACATGATCTTATTTTGGACATGGCCATTTTGACTGCAGGCAGATGTTATCCCCTGCGGTTGATTGCCGAAAGAGATGGAAAAGATGCCGTTAGAAGGGGACTGTGACATCTCACAGAAATCCAAAAACAGTGACTGAGATTTGGACAGCCTTCATGTAAACCAGAATGAGAAAGATATCAGGAATTCAGGCCACTCCTTCCCTCTTGCTCTAGATCTAAGGATGTTCTGCTGTTAACAATGCCACAGAAATTTAGTGAGTGGTCTAACAATGAATATCTGGGGGATTCTATAACTCAGTTAAAACTAGGATGTAAAAACACAGCTCTGTCCATCCTCTTTGTGCTTGCCTTAGCAGCCAGAGCATCCTAATCCTGCCCATGGGCACACAAGTGGTGCTTTACAACTCCAGCGAGCCATGTTCCCATGGGAATTTAGTCATTACAAGTCAGGGCCTTATTTCCATTCTTCTTTCTTATTTTTAAAAGTTTAAAAATGGGCTATGCACAGTGGTTCATGCTTGTAATCCCAGCATTTTGGGAAGCCGAGGTGCGAGGATTGCTTGAGGACAGAAGTTGGAGACCAGCCTGGGCAACACAGTGAGACCCTGTCCCTATAAAAAAAAAAAAAAATTAACATTAGCCAAGTGCAGCAGCATCTTCCTGTAGTCCTGGTTACTCAGGAGGCTGAAACAAGAGGATCACTTGAGCCCAGGACTTTGAGGTTGTAGTGAGCTGTGATCCTGCCACTGCACTTCAGACTAAGTGACAGAGAGAGAACCCTGACTCAAAATAATAATAATAATAAATTAGCCTGGCATGGTGGCTTGTGCCTGTAGTCCCAGCTACTCAGGAGGGTGAGGTGGGAGGATTGCTGGAGGCCAGAAGTTCAAGGCTGCAGCAGTAAACTATGACTGTGCCACTGCTCTCCAACCTGAGCTACAGAGTGAGACCCTGTCTGAAAAAAAAAAAAAAGTCACGAAATCACCTAACATAACAAATACCAGTGAAACAACAACATTTGGTTGTTTTGTTTTAGGTTTCTAAAAATATATGTGTAAAGGAAATAAACAAAGTCGAAATCCTCTTTGATCTCCTCTTCAGTCTCATTGTTCTCTCTCCAAAGCCTAAAGGCAATCGAGATCCATGAACTTGGCTGATTTCCTTCCTGTTCATGGTTTTTAAACTTTTACTGCCACGTATACATGCACATAAACATAATGTAGTATTGTTTGGTGTGTTTTTATTTAACATAAATGGCACCTTTCAATATGTAATGTTTTGCAATTTGCTTTTTTTCACTTGGCATGGTTTTCAAGATCTATTTTTATGCATTCTTAGAGATCTAGTCTGTTTAATTGCTGTATAATATTCCATTTTAGGAACATACCACCATTTAGTTAGCCATTCCACTACTAAAGGATATTTGTGTTGCTTCCAAATTTGTGTCATTACACACAATGAATGTTGCAATGAACATTCTTTTACATGCTTCATTGCATGCTTTTATGTAAGTTTCTCTAGGACTAATTGAGTACCTTAAGTGTACTGTATATGTATGGGTGAAATTGCTGTAAATTGATGGTTTAGTGAGGGTGTCCATTTTACATTGTTTTACATATTACCAAATATCACCTCATGGGGAGTGGGGTAAAGCAGTCAATATAAGAGTTATATTCAAACAACATGCACCCACCCAGTCTCTTCTCCCCACCAAAAAGGCATGCCCACCCCCAACTTGAGAAACTCTGCTTTAGTGAGATACAATCTTGTAAGGAAGTGTGCCACATTTTCAGATGTATTGAAAGAGAAAGGGGATTGAAAATAATTGACTTTAAGATCAAAAAGACATAACTAGTTTGCTCTGATGTCTTTGCCTTAGCTACCAAATCCCTCAAAGCCTTGTTCTCAACAGAAATATTGTCCAGATCCCAGGGGATTACAGGAGACAAATGCATTAACTATTTTGCTATTAAAAATCCCTGGATCAGCATTGGGTTAGGATGGTCCTAAACCTGCACTGATGTGCCAAGAGGCACCAGTTGGCAGCTATACTGCATTGAATAGTATTACCTCCAAATTCACATCTACCTGGAACCTGTGAATGTGACTATTTAGGAATGGGGTCTGCAGATGTAATCAGGTTAAGATAAAATCATGCTGAATTAGAGTGGGTCCTGAATTCAATATGACTAGTGTCCTTACAAGGAGAGGGACATTTTGACAGAGACACACACACTGACAAAGAGGAGAATGCCATGTGAGGATGGAGAAGAGACTGAACTTGTGCAGCTGCACAGATCACCAAGGATTGCTGCAACTGCCAGATGTTAGGAAGAGGCAAAGAAGGACCCTCCCCTCCAGCCTTCAGAAAGAGCGTGACCCTGTTGAAACTTCAGTCTTGGACTTTTAGCCTCCAAAACTGTGACAGAATACATTTCTGTTGTTTTAAGCCACCCAGTTTGTCATATGGTAAACCCGAGGAAACTAATATAGCAGCCTTCCAAAATGGCCCCAAGCAACCAGCCTCCTGGTATTCACAACTTATGTAATCTACACCCCTCTCATGTGGGCTGGACCTAGTGACCTGCTCCTAATAAATAGAGCAAGCATGAGAGGGTGTCATTTCCAAGATCAGGTCATAAAAACCAAATTCCATCGGGCTGGCTCTTTCTTGCCCTTCACTTGCTGTGATACCTGATAGCATAATATTATACTATGTCAAGGAACTGAGAAAGGTCTTCAGACAAGGATCTGAATCCTGCCAAAAGCCATATGAGTAAGCTTGGAAGTAAAGCTCCGCCATCACCCTCAGTTGAGTCTTGAGATCACTACAGTTCCTACCATCACCTTGGTTGCACCATGGGAGACCCCAGAGGCAGAAGACCTGCTAAATCATGCCCGAATTCTTTACCCACAGAAACTATGAAATAATACATGCTTTGCTTTCAGCCATCAAGTTTTGGGGGGCAACTTGTTATGCCGCAATAAATAACTAACAGATGCAAACAGTAGGTCAAAGAAGATGCTTGGGAACAAAGATTACAGGGAGCCTGTGCTGGAGCCCTCTTGTGGCGCAGTGTGTGTTGTGTGCTGCGGGGCCAGAACAGTGACTTAGAAAAGCTATGGTGGCTTGCAAACATCCAGCCTCTACGTTATGTGCACATTCCCATTGCCTGCACAGAAGGCAGCTGCTCCAAACTGAGACTGTAAGCAGTCATCCCTGGAGGTCAAGTGGTTCAGTGAAACTCCCCTGAAAGAAGACAAGGATTAGCTCCGTACAGACTGTTTTAGACTTGGTAACTTCTCCAAAGGTTTTCCTATATTCATTCCTGGGAATTCCTTTCTCCATCTACTGTTACATTGTGGGAGCTTTGGAGAAAAAGGGGATGATGATTGGATTGAGTCAGGAAGCCTCATTTATGAAATTAGCTGTCATTCATCACCCCAGGGACCTTGGGGTTTTAGAAAGGTCAGAGACTAATTTCCTGGTTCTGAAGGTGAAACTTACAGAAGGTTCTTACACAAAGAGGACTCATGGTTTGGTTTTGTGTCCTCACCCAAATCTCATGTCAAATTGTAATCCCTGTGTATCAGGGGAGGGGCCTGGTGGGAGGTGATTGGATCATGGGGGCGGATTTCCCCCTTGCTGTTCTCAAGACAGTGAGTGAGTTCTCATAAGAACTGATGGTTTAAAAGTGGCACTTCCTGCTTCACTCTCTCTCTCTCTTCAGCTTTTCCATGATAAGACGTGCTTGCTTCCCCTTCACCTTCTGCCATGATTGTAAATTTCCTGAGGCTTCCCCAGACATGTAGAACTGTGAGTCAATGAAACCTCTTTTCTTTATAAATTACTCAGTTTCAGGTAGTTCTTTTTTTTTTTTTTTTTTTTTTTTTTTTTTTTTTTTTTTTTTTTTGAGAAAGCCAGCTGACTCTTTATTGCTTTGGGGGCAGGGGGCTCAGGAGCTCTTGGTGGGGCGGGTCCGCTTCCTCTTCACCATCACAGGCTTCTGGCTGCGCAGGATGGCGCTGGCCCTGCGGATGGCTGCCATGCGCAGGTCGGGGCGGTACTTGTTCTTGCGGATCATGGGTCTGATGCTGCTGAGCGTGGCGCGAGCATTCTTGTTGATGGTGGTCCGCACATAGGAGGTGGCAGGCTTCCGCTGGCCGGATCTCCGCTTAATGACCACCACGACGCCTTTGCCGTCGGCTGCCGGCTCCACGCCCACGGTCTTGCGGTGAATCAGCCCGTTGTAGCGGAAGGAATTGCGGGCCTTCAAGTTATTGGGCTCAGTACTGTAGGTCTGCTTATTCCTCTTGATCAGGAAACTGGAGCAGTTCCGCACGACCATCCATTGCAGATGCGCAGACATGGCGGCGGCTCGTCTCGCAGCGGCGACCTGAGACGGAAAGAGCTCAGGTAGTTCTTTATAGCAGTGTGAGAACAGAGTAATACAAGTACAGACTGACCAGACTCAGGGAAAACAAAAGTGAGATTCATTGCTTCCCACCCCGCCACCCTTTGACCCCATATGGAGGAGGATGAGGCTCCCTGACTCTGACCCAGGTGGGTATAACTGTGGCAAATGCATCAAGATTGGTGGGAGAGGGAGTTCAGGAGAAGCTCATGTATCCATGATGAGTACTGGGAGAGAAAAGGGACATTTCAGCAGGTAGAACTGCACATCACAGACCAACATGGGTGACTTGCTTTGCCAGGTGTTCCTGAAGAGAGAATGGGCTCCAGGCTGGGCTGCAGTGCAGCAGAGGCACAGGTGCCCCACTGCACCTTCAAACTGTGTTACCCAAGCACAACACCACTCTTACAGTTCAAACCAGCGCTGTACTGTGTTGGCTCACACCTGTAATCTCAGCACTTTGGGAGGTTGAGGTGGGAGGATGGCTTGAGACCAGGAGCTGGAGGCTGCAGTGAGCCATGTTCGTGTCCCTGTATAACAGCCTGGAGCAAGACCCTGTCTCAAAAAAATTAAAATTAAAATTATAAAGCCAGCACAGTGCCCCCACTCAAACTACTGCTTTTTAACAAAATAGCATCATCTTATTTATAACCCAGGGCCTGCAGGCTTCAACTAATCTCTAGGTGAATTCGGTGACCCAAGAAAAAGCCTCATAGTATGATAACTCTTGCCACAAGGACCCAAACTGCTCTAGTAGGATTTCCTCAAGCATCCCTACCAATATGCTTGGATATGCCATAACCTTTCTTCTCCCTCAGTTTTCATATTTGTAAAATCAGATGACTAGTTTATGTAATCTTTAAAGGCCTATTCATCAATCGTATTTTATCGTTCCCTATTAAAAGAATCAGAAAGTCCAGAAAAAAAGTAAAAGTAAATGTGTGAGTCTTATTTCTTCTCATTCTTGAAAACTCAGGCATTATGCCCTCTGGGAAGCCTCCCATGACCTCATCAGATTGCAGACCTGACCCAGGTACACAGGTGCCACAACTCAGGTACACTTCTGTTGATCATAGCTCCTACAGAGTGGTTGTGGATTTCTGGACCTGTTTCCTCCATTATCCAGTCAGCTCCCTGCGGCACTTCAAAGGTTGGCTTTTGTCTTATTTTTCCTTGTGTGTGCGGGATCTAACAGACTGCTTGATGCATAATAGATGGTCAGTAACTATTTGTTGGTTAAAAGGATGACTAGATGGATGAATGAATAAATGGAGCTTCTTTACTTGTGGTGGGGATTGTGCTTTCCAGGGAAACAGACTAGGCAGTGTGTCTCTCTTGCCACATGGCTTGCTGGTGGCACTGACATAATGTGGTTGGAGAGGGATGGACAGTGGTGCAGAAGTCAGATCTCAGGATCCATGCAGACCCATAAGGGGAAATCTCATCTCCTTTCTGCTCCATCAACCTATGGAGCTTGAAGTGAGAGATAATTAATTCATGGCATGTGTGGAGACAGATGTTAGGGAAGTGGAGCAAAGATAACAAGGTCAATGCAAAAAGAAAGAAGGGGTTATAAATACTGCAGTGATAAAATGGTTTGCCCATAAAGACTTGAGCATCCATGTCACTGGAAAATGTCCAAATAGAGAATCAACATGGTACAGATAAAGGAATAGGTGCTTACAAATGTTAAGTGGTTTGTTTAAAGGCACAAAGTAAGTGGCTTGAACTTGTTCTGTCTCTCTGCATATTAGGGGTTCTTTATACCCATTATATTATCCATTTCCCCCAATGCAAAAGCCACTGCAAATTAAATCCCTTAACTGATAGTGTTTTATTTTAAGAAATTGTTCGGACTGGGAATCAAGACATGAACACAACTGTCCTAGTTAGTTCTAGCTGCTATAACAAGGTGCCATAGATTGGGCGACTTCTACACAACAGAAATTTACTTCTCAGTCTGGAGGCTGGAAGCCTGAGATCACAGTGCCACGTGAGTGAGGGCCCTGTTCTGGGTTGCAGACTGCTGACTTTCATTATAACCTCATGTGGCAGAAAGAGCATGAACCAGCTCTCTAACCTCCTCTTAGAAAGGCCACCTGTGAGTACACTGGGTTCATCTGAATGAATAATCCGAGATTATCTCTCCGTCTTAAGATTTTTAACACATCTGAAAAGTTCCTTCTGCCATATAAGATAACATTCACGGTTTCTGGGGATTCAGACATGGACATCTTCTGTGGGAGAAGGGTATTATTGAGCCCATTGCAGGAGGCATATACACTTTATCTTTATTTTCAAGAAGACTATGAGGAAAAATTGGAAATAAGGGAAACAGGCAGTTGAAATAGATGCTAGAAAGATTAGGGTGTTAGAGTTACGATTTAAGGCAAGTTCAGGATGGATTCCATCGAGAGCCAGAAAGATGTAGGGTTTACATTTTACAGAGTATTGAATGTGTTGTTCAAAAACAGGCAGAGAGCTTAAAGGTTGTGTTCATGGCAGGATATCTCTTGACCCAGAATAGTCGGTAATTATACTTTTTTTCCCTCATTTTAGAAAACTGAGGCTCAAGGCAACAAGCCAAAAATAAAATATCAGACATTAAATTAAGGTGTTATTGGCAATAAGCCCAACCAGAAATTTTTGAAACAGGGCTCCTGCTTGTGCCAGGAAGTCAGAGTTGGGTGAAGGATCATTGAGATCTTGAAGACACGGAGGAGAGGAGTCTCTATGACCAAGATAGCCAAGGAGATTGTGATTTGGAAGAGGAAAAGGGAGGAGATGGTTGGTGCAGAGTGGTGACGTTGGAGTGGGATACCCTGTGGCTGGATGAGGCTTCTCTTTTCCCAACTGGACGTGGAGCACAGAAATCTCATCCCGTAGAGAAAAGAGGTAGTAGCCACATACCTGCACTTGGAAAGAAGTTTTGCAGCCACCAATTCAGAGGAGGAGATCTTGGCTTCAGAGCTGAAAGAGAAGACAGAAGGAGACAGGCTCTTGTAAAATGTGATCAATAGAACTTAGGTGTTTTCCCCTGTTCTGCTCCAAGACCCCACTAAAATGAATGTGAAGAGATTTTGTTAAAAGCATGCGCTTATGAAGATGAAGATCAAGAAAGAAAAAAACAGAGAAATATCAAGATAACTTTGAATGTTAGAAGACAGATGGATAACTAAAATTTAACTTTGCATAGCAGAGAAAGCCAAAATAAAATGCCCATAAGGTTGCTGGGTGGGTAAAACAAGAAGCCAACCAATTTCCATTCTGGAACTCTGTAAACACTTTAGAATTTAAGGCAATAGATGTCTTCAAAAATTAAGGTGTGGATGGAGCTTAAAAGTAAAGAATTGGTTGAAACTCCATAAAAGAAATAAGTTGACCCCTACATTCCCTTCTTTACCTTAAGCAACTAGACAGCTCTCCCTCCCCTACCTAGCAGGAGACTGGAGGTTTGCTCTCTGAAGAAGTTGTCCCAGAGGAACTTATAACTCAAGAATACCCTGCACAGCTTGGGCAGAGTGGGAGGTGCGGATTACTGTACTGAAAACTGGGAATTAGGAATAGAAGTCCTCTAGCCCTTTACAGAAGATTGGAGGGTAGTCAAGCTGACCCAACAGAGAGGATTCTTACAGATACTGTCAGTTGATCTTCCTTTAAAAAAATGGCTCCATGCCTGCAGGAGCATCCTAATGGAAGTCAAGTGCATGCCCATGAAGCTGCTTATCTCTGCAATGCTTTACTTTTAAATGCGAAGGGATACCAGATATTAAAACAGTTGAATAACACCTCTAACTGAAAAGCAGATAAACAGAGCAAAGGAGCCTGGAGAAAACAAATATAACGCAGAAATCAGAGGAGCGAAAACTATGCAGGGAAACTCTCCAATCTACATTCTCACAGAGGTAAAAAATATTGAATCCATGAAACAAGAATTACATGATTTGTAAAAGAAGCTTCAAAAATAACAAATAAAATTTCTCCTAGAGATTAAATTATGAGAGCCAAAATACAAAGTTTGATAGAATGGACAAATGTGTGTATACATATATTTGAAAAGAAATGTAGATAGTAGAATAAAAAGACAAAGTAATGGAAAAGAGTAAGGAAAAGATAAGTGTGTTAAAAAATTAGTTAGAAGTTTCAAAACGTAACTGAGGAAAGTTCCAGGAAATGAAGAAATTAGAATTGAGAAAATTACCCAAGAACTAAAATGAGAAAATTTTCCATAATTAAAGGTTATAGGTTTTCAGATTTTAAAAGCTTACTTTATGTCCAGCATAATGAATAAAATATTATAAAATATCAGAGTAATGGGGTAAAATAAAATCCCAAAAACTCTCAGAGAAAGATCACATACATGAGATCAGAAATAACAAAAGCATTAAAATTATCAATAGCACTATCAGAAGCTAGAAGACAGTAAGAAAATGTCTTCAAAACTCTGAAGTAAAATGAGTTTCCTAGATTTCTATGCATAGTCAAGATAAAGATATGCAATAAATCAAAGAATGTTCACAGCATTCACTCTTTCTTCAGCAGCTACTAGAATTTTGAAACTTCATTTTAATGAGGCACAATGAAGAAAGAGAGACAGAAGATAAACAAAGTTGACACTCCAACAGTAAAGAGGGAAATGGATTTCAGAATGACAGTACAGTTACAAATACTAAAAAGCAACCAATTCTTATTGAACCAAGAAGATGAGAAGATCTAGGAAAGGTATTTCCCAGGTAGGGACAGAATGAAAATCAGAGATTATTTCATGTGCTTGAATATATTGAGAGACATTTTCTATTTCTGGCAGAGAGTTTGAGGATGGAGTTATGGTGATATGCACATAAAAGGAGTGGGCAAATAAAAACTTGAGGCAATTACTAACTCCAGGAAAAACAAAAGGTTGTTCAAGAAGGAAAATGTAAACAGAGTACACCACACAGAACTGCTAAGATACAGTTTATATCACTGTAATAAATGACACAAAAATATGACTACAGGCT